TATTATATATTATTTAGCTTTAATATTTTAAGCATTTCACTGAACTTAAAACAAAAATGAGAAATGTTGCCTTTGCAACTGATTTAAATACGTTTTTCATCTAATATTTAGATTATATTTTTATTTCAGCTTTATTTCAATTACCAAAAACTATTTTAAATATTTTTAGTTTTATAACAACACTGGCATTAAGATAATGCTAAACAAGTATAGTATGACAATGATGTAGCAATTTGGATCTTCTGACGGTGCTGTTTGTGTTCTTCAGAGCTGGATATCTTTGGCATTGTCCTCTTCTCTGTACTGACTTTAATGGCCACAGTGTCCATGCTGGTTTTCATTGAAGAATGCATCTACATCTATAAGAAAGTACCTCCAAATAAGAAAAGTGTAATCATCTGGGTAACCGGAGCAGCACCGGTGAGTTCTATCAGTCAAACTGAGCATGATATGGACACTTTTGTCCTTTTATCTGTTCTATTATTCATGTTATCACTTATATCCCTCCCTGCTTCTTGTTATTTTACAATCTATTATTTAAAAAAAGTTTTCTTAATAATTCATCACTCCTAATTAGAACTGACATGCCAAATATGAGCTTTATCTGTATCCCACTCAGACGGAAACTAAGGTAATGGTACGGTTAGTCATTTCTAGTGCATCACTGTCTGGATGCGTGATTATGAGTCACAAGTTCATCTTCTTCTGAGGTATTATGTTTTATCTTTTTCAGGTTATTGCTACCATGTCTTGTTTGGGCATGTGGGTTCCAAGGGCCACAATGTTCACTGATATGACATCAGCTACGTGAGTTCTTAACTTTTCCCCAGTGTGGAATGCATGAAAAAAATGAAGTATAATCTAGGTTGTGCCAATAGACTATAGTATCATGTATCGATGATAGTTCTAAAACTAAGTTTAAATATTTAGTTAATAGATTACACTAACATTTGGCTGCTTTTAGCCTTACCCTGGAGTTGGTTCACTCTCCGGCTATGAAACTAATAAATAAATAAACTAGTATATAAATAAATTAGCATGATAATATTGTGTATCTGCGATCTCACAGGCTGACGATAGGACGATAGGACGATATGACGATGGAGCATATTGCCCAACACTAAAACTAGATAAGTAAAGTTTGTGAACAAACTTTGAAGTTGGCTTGAGAAACCCTAGCCTGAAAGTTTGAAGCAGTTTTAAACGTTTTCAAAGTTGGAAAGTTTAGATAGAATAGATAGATGTTGATAGCATGTTGCTAGCATAATTAACATGTTGCAACCATGTTTTAGCATTATTATCATGTTGTTAGCATGTTTCACTAGCATGATTAGCATGTTGCTAGCATGTTTTTAGCATGATTAACATTTGCTAGCATGTTTTTAACCTGATTAGCATATTTAAAGGGGTCCTATTATGCTCTTTTACAAAGTCTTGATTTTGTTTTGGGGGTGTACTAGAACAGGCTTTCATACTAGGTTTCATACCTCTCTCCCCAGTCTGGCATGAAAGGCTCGAATAGTTCCTGTATCAAATGAGTCTCCGACGTAGTGATAACACTCGTTGCCTTCTCTAGTGCAGCTCAACCAGGTCTCGTCCCATTCGTCGGTATTTGAGATATCACAAATCCCGGAAAAATGCGTTGTAGTCCAAACGTGTCGTTCATTGTAGTTTTTGAAAAGTGATTTCTGTTAAATAAAATATCTCCTTTTGAATTGGACTTTGAGCTTTGTAACTTTGCAGATCTTTTTTATGCTCAAACAGCAACATTACAGACTAACTAAAGTTGAAAAAGTGAAAAAGCATAATAGGACCCCTTTAAGCATGTTGCTAGGATGTTGTTAGCATGTTGCTAGGATGTTTCTAGCATGATTAACATGTTGCTAACATGTTTTTAACATGATTAGCATGTTATTAGCATGTCTAACATGATTAGCATGTTGCTAGCATGTTTTAGCGTGATTAACATGTGGTTAGCATGTTGCTAGCCTGTTTTTAGCATGATTAGCTTGTTGCTAGCATGTTTTTAGCGTGATTTAACATATTTAACATGAATGAAAAATCCCGCTAAAAAACAGCTAAAACCAAGTAAAACCAGCTGATTTAGTAAAAAAACCAGCTAAAATCAGCTGATTCAGTAAAAAAAGCTAAAAACCAGTTAAAACCAGCTGATTTAACAAAAAGACAGCTAAAAAGACAGCTAAAACCAGCAGATTTAGTAAAAAAAAAATGATTCAGTAAAAAACAAAAAAACGCTAAGACCAAGCACAACTAATTGATTTAACAAAAAGCTAGCTAAAAACCAGCTAAAACCAGTTGATTCAGCAAAAAAAAAAAAAAAAACGGTTAAAAACAGTATAGCCTGGTTGTCTAGTCTTAACTGGTTTAAGCTTGGTTGATCTTTTAGCAGGTCTCCCAGCTTGACCAGTTAAGACCAGCCTGTCCAGCTAAAAAGTAGCCAAAACCACTTTAGAATCCGCTTGGGAGACCAGCCAAAGCAGTCAATCAGCATCTGCTGGTTTTTTCAGTAGGAAGTTGTTAAGCTTTGCTATTGCAATAGACCGCTTAAATACACCATAAGTCTCATTGTACAAAAGTTTTCAATGAAAATCTTTAGTGGTTTTGATAGTCTGCTTTACGAAAACCGTAAGTCAGATCAGTTAGAAAGATAGAGCAACCCGAGTCAGACCAGTCTGAAGGTCTGACCCGAGTTTAGTGGTTGTAACTTGAAAGCTCTTGGAGGAGATACATTTTAAAATTTAGTCTCAGAAGAAGAAGAAGAAAAAGCTTAAATAGCATTTCAGTAAGTTGGCTTTCTCTATTTCAGTAGTGGTCAAACATTGTTTTCACTCTTCAAAAATTACTTTCTGTCCCAGATATTTTCCAGTGTACAAAACTTTGAATTGCTTGAAAGAATTGTGGATTTGTGGGTGTGTGTGCAACCGTGACACAAATTAACATATTTCTGACTTAATTGGCAGATACTTTGCAATTGTGGTCTTCAAGTTCCTGATTCTCATGATTGAAGAGGTCGGAGGAGACAATGCATTTCTCAGGCACTCAGAGAATAAGTCATTTAAGATCAGCACAGGACCTTGCTGCTGCTGCTGCCCGTGTCTGCCAAACGTCCCCATCACACCGTAAGCAAACCTTAAAGTGTGCTTGTCACGCCATCAGACCCAATCACTGCCACAATGCGAGCCAGTTGGTGGTGGTTGCTATGAAACTCAAATAATCAAAATAGCCCACCCTCTAGTATCTATGACTGGAGACTAGGGCCCACTTGAGGGCCTCAGCAAACATCCAAGGTGGCCTCAATAAGACTTAAAATGATTTAACTTCAGAAAAAACAAGTATTATTAAAAGCTAAAATAACTAAAAATCAAGGTCTTATTTTAATTCACCTCACCACTGAAGAAAAAGAAAACATTGTTAATTAATTTTAAGTGTTATTTCTAGACCTGGAAAAGTAAAGTCAATTAATAACATTTTAAAACTCTAAAAAGTATACATTTAGTACATTTTTCTGCCAAGTTCCATAATATTTTATTAGGTAGAAAGGAATTTTAGCTAATGATTTTAAAAATGTTTTATGTTTTAGAAAAAAATATTGATGTGGACAATAGACCTTAGTCAGGGTAGTGCCATATTTAATTTTGTTTCTAACAGGAATGAGGGATAAAATATGGTGCATTCTGTGGATTGTACTGTTGTTTAACAACACACCAATTGTTCAGCTGATGAAAATTCTTTGAGGAAAAAAACTTTCAATAGACAAAAATCCTCACATCCTCATTTTCCATGTTAAATTTGAACAGTTAGACATACAAATAATATTTAAAAGCAGCTTCACAGTTATAAACAGGAAAACAACTATTAAAGTTCTTCAGTTATGAAACAGATACAATTTCAGCTGTAAAGCAGCTCTAAAAAGGCAATAGTGTGTCCATTCAACTCACTTTAGTTCAAAAATAATGTAAAGTTCATATAATTATGAAACAAGCTTAATTCAGGCATAAGCAGCTCTACAGAAGGCAATGTTGTCATTATTCAGCTCAAGTCAGTTAAATGTTGATTCAGTTCAATAACAGTGTCAGTGTTGCAGAGTTCATCAATTATGACAGTTAACTGTCATTATCCAGTTCAATTTAGTTCACATTTTGTTCGCATCTAATAGTGTCAGTGCAGACCATGTCTTTTAAACCCCGACTGAGTAAGACAAAGGCGACAGAACATCCTAAACAGTAGCCTGTATAGAAATAAATGAATCATTCATATTAACTAAATTGCACCTGCATGTTAAACATTCTAAAACTGACTTCGGAAGTTTGCCATTAATTGCCCATATCTTCGACTGGATGTCGACAGGATGAGTGCACCCCTAGCCATTCAATTCTTCTGCAAACATGAGGTCTTTATCATGCTTAGTGCGCAACCTAAAATGGGCACCTTGGGGCCATTGCACTCTTTGCTATCTGGAAGAAAGGAGCAGTCTTTTGCAGCTCCTGGAATCATTGGCTTTATATCAGTGTTATGTAAGACTTCCATTATCAAACTCAAACAGTTGAATGTGATACCTGTGGGTGGGCTCATGTGACTTGGAATGTCAAATCTGAAAAACAAAACAAAATTTCTTTAATTTTCTTCAAATATTGTGCTTTGCTTTTTCAGACGATCTCTGTTCATTTTGAAACTGGGGTCCTACCAGTTTGCGCTGTTGAAATTGGCCTTAACCATCCTTTCTATAGTCCTCTGGTCGAATGGCAACTTCAATTTAGCTGATGTAAGTATAGACACTGCAGTTATTTTAATACATCATTTTATTTTTAAATTTGAGAAAGACTTGCAGAGTGTCTCTTTCTCTGGTCTTGTAGGTTTCAGCCACTGGAGCAGCCATATGGATAAACTCCTTTATAGGCGTTCTCACCATTATCGCCCTTTGGCCTGTTGCAATCATGTTCATGCATGTGCGAGAGGCATTACGCACCCTTAAAATGGTCCCTAAATATGCCATGTATCAGGTTTGTACTTATTCCTTGCAATTTTTTAGAACATCCTTGGTGTTTAGTATTGCTGGAATGAATGTTTCTAGTGATTCAACAATTATATCTGCCCATAGTTGGTGCTGATTCTCAGCCAGCTGCAAACTGCTGTCATCAACATACTGGCAATGAACGGGACTATTGCCTGCGCACCACCCTACACGTCCCAGGCCCGTGGATACTGTGAGTACCATCATGTGGCAGAATGTAACATAACAATCCTGTTAAATTATCATGGAGCACAGGACTTAAAGGGATAGTTCATTCTAGACATTAAAATTCTGTCATTATTTACTCACCCTCATGTTATTCCAAACCTGTATGAGTTTCTTCTTTCTTCTGTGAAATACAAAAGAGAAGTTTAGCAGAATGAGTTGCTTTCGTCCGAATGAAAGTGGATGAGCAGCTGTCAAGCTCCAAAAAGCAGCATAAAAGTATCATAAAAGTGTACCTTTTTGTGTTCCACTAAAGTGAAGAAAGACAGTCATACAGGTTTTGAAAGACATGATGCAACAGAATTTCATTTTATTGGGCAAAAGTTCCCTTTAACTCTTGCTTAATTTGCCTACACCCACTTAAATATTCTGTCAGACATTAATGATTCCTAAAAACACCCTCAATTTCTTTTTGCAGTGATGAGTCAGCAGCTGTTGATTGTGGAGATGTTCATCATCACGCTAGTGACCCGTGTTTTATATAGACGTCAGTATGACCCCATACCAGATCTGGATGATGTTGAGGAGACAAAGACTGTCCTCACCTCAACAAAAGTTGTATATATTGCCTGAGAAGAACAGACTGTTGCGTGTGATTGAGATTTTGCTATTTTTTTTTAGGCCGGTTTGTAAAAAAAAAAAAAGAAAAAACAGCTGATTCAGTAAAAAACAAAAAAACGCTAAGACCAAGCACAACTAATTGATTTAACAAAAAGCTAGCTAAAAACCAGCTAAAACCAGTTGATTCAGCAAAAAAAAAAAAAAAAACGGTTAAAAACAGTATAGGCTGGTTGTCTAGTCTTAACTGGTTTAAGCTTGGTTGATCTTTTAGCAGGTCTCCCAGCTTGACCAGTTAAGACCAGCCTGTCCAGCTAAAAAGTAGCCAAAACCACTTTAGAATCCGCTTGGGAGACCAGCCAAAGCAGTCAATCAGCATCTGCTGGTTTTTTCAGTAGGAAGTTGTTAAGCTTTGCTATTGCAATAGACCGCTTAAATACACCATAAGTCTCATTGTACAAAAGTTTTCAATGAAAATCTTTAGTGGTTTTGATAGTCTGCTTTACGAAAACCGTAAGTCAGATCAGTTAGAAAGATAGAGCAACCCGAGTCAGACCAGTCTGAAGGTCTGACCCGAGTTTGGTGGTTGTAACTTGAAAGCTCTTGGAGGAGATACATTTTAAAATTTAGTCTCAGAAGAAGAAGAAGAAAAAGCTTAAATAGCATTTCAGTAAGTTGGCTTTCTCTATTTCAGTAGTGGTCAAACATTGTTTTCACTCTTCAAAAATTACTTTCTGTCCCAGATATTTTCCAGTGTACAAAACTTTGAATTGCTTGAAAGAATTGTGGATTTGTGGGTGTGTGTGCAACCGTGACACAAATTAACATATTTCTGACTTAATTGGCAGATACTTTGCAATTGTGGTCTTCAAGTTCCTGATTCTCATGATTGAAGAGGTCGGAGGAGACAATGCATTTCTCAGGCACTCAGAGAATAAGTCATTTAAGATCAGCACAGGACCTTGCTGCTGCTGCTGCCCGTGTCTGCCAAACGTCCCCATCACACCGTAAGCAAACCTTAAAGTGTGCTTGTCACGCCATCAGACCCAATCACTGCCACAATGCGAGCCAGTTGGTGGTGGTTGCTATGAAACTCAAATAATCAAAATAGCCCACCCTCTAGTATCTATGACTGGAGACTAGGGCCCACTTGAGGGCCTCAGCAAACATCCAAGGTGGCCTCAATAAGACTTAAAATGATTTAACTTCAGAAAAAACAAGTATTATTAAAAGCTAAAATAACTAAAAATCAAGGTCTTATTTTAATTCACCTCACCACTGAAGAAAAAGAAAACATTGTTAATTAATTTTAAGTGTTATTTCTAGACCTGGAAAAGTAAAGTCAATTAATAAAATTTTAAAACTCTAAAAAGTATACATTTAGTACATTTTTCTGCCAAGTTCCATAATATTTTATTAGGTAGAAAGGAATTTTAGCTAATGATTTTAAAAATGTTTTATGTTTTAGAAAAAAATATTGATGTGGACAATAGACCTTAGTCAGGGTAGTGCCATATTTAATTTTGTTTCTAACAGGAATGAGGGATAAAATATGGTGCATTCTGTGGATTGTACTGTTGTTTAACAACACACCAATTGTTCAGCTGATGAAAATTCTTTGAGGAAAAAAACTTTCAATAGACAAAAATCCTCACATCCTCATTTTCCATGTTAAATTTGAACAGTTAGACATACAAATAATATTTAAAAGCAGCTTCACAGTTATAAACAGGAAAACAACTATTAAAGTTCTTCAGTTATGAAACAGATACAATTTCAGCTGTAAAGCAGCTCTAAAAAGGCAATAGTGTGTCCATTCAACTCACTTTAGTTCAAAAATAATGTAAAGTTCATATAATTATGAAACAAGCTTAATTCAGGCATAAGCAGCTCTACAGAAGGCAATGTTGTCATTATTCAGCTCAAGTCAGTTAAATGTTGATTCAGTTCAATAACAGTGTCAGTGTTGCAGAGTTCATCAATTATGACAGTTAACTGTCATTATCCAGTTCAATTTAGTTCACATTTTGTTCGCATCTAATAGTGTCAGTGCAGACCATGTCTTTTAAACCCCGACTGAGTAAGACAAAGGCGACAGAACATCCTAAACAGTAGCCTGTATAGAAATAAATGAATCATTCATATTAACTAAATTGCACCTGCATGTTAAACATTCTAAAACTGACTTCGGAAGTTTGCCATTAATTGCCCATATCTTCGACTGGATGTCGACAGGATGAGTGCACCCCTAGCCATTCAATTCTTCTGCAAACATGAGGTCTTTATCATGCTTAGTGCGCAACCTAAAATGGGCACCTTGGGGCCATTGCACTCTTTGCTATCTGGAAGAAAGGAGCAGTCTTTTGCAGCTCCTGGAATCATTGGCTTTATATCAGTGTTATGTAAGACTTCCATTATCAAACTCAAACAGTTGAATGTGATACCTGTGGGTGGGCTCATGTGACTTGGAATGTCAAATCTGAAAAACAAAACAAAATTTCTTTAATTTTCTTCAAATATTGTGCTTTGCTTTTTCAGACGATCTCTGTTCATTTTGAAACTGGGGTCCTACCAGTTTGCGCTGTTGAAATTGGCCTTAACCATCCTTTCTATAGTCCTCTGGTCGAATGGCAACTTCAATTTAGCTGATGTAAGTATAGACACTGCAGTTATTTTAATACATCATTTTATTTTTAAATTTGAGAAAGACTTGCAGAGTGTCTCTTTCTCTGGTCTTGTAGGTTTCAGCCACTGGAGCAGCCATATGGATAAACTCCTTTATAGGCGTTCTCACCATTATCGCCCTTTGGCCTGTTGCAATCATGTTCATGCATGTGCGAGAGGCATTACGCACCCTTAAAATGGTCCCTAAATATGCCATGTATCAGGTTTGTACTTATTCCTTGCAATTTTTTAGAACATCCTTGGTGTTTAGTATTGCTGGAATGAATGTTTCTAGTGATTCAACAATTATATCTGCCCATAGTTGGTGCTGATTCTCAGCCAGCTGCAAACTGCTGTCATCAACATACTGGCAATGAACGGGACTATTGCCTGCGCACCACCCTACACGTCCCAGGCCCGTGGATACTGTGAGTACCATCATGTGGCAGAATGTAACATAACAATCCTGTTAAATTATCATGGAGCACAGGACTTAAAGGGATAGTTCATTCTAGACATTAAAATTCTGTCATTATTTACTCACCCTCATGTTATTCCAAACCTGTATGAGTTTCTTCTTTCTTCTGTGAAATACAAAAGAGAAGTTTAGCAGAATGAGTTGCTTTCGTCCGAATGAAAGTGGATGAGCAGCTGTCAAGCTCCAAAAAGCAGCATAAAAGTATCATAAAAGTGTACCTTTTTGTGTTCCACTAAAGTGAAGAAAGACAGTCATACAGGTTTTGAAAGACATGATGCAACAGAATTTCATTTTATTGGGCAAAAGTTCCCTTTAACTCTTGCTTAATTTGCCTACACCCACTTAAATATTCTGTCAGACATTAATGATTCCTAAAAACACCCTCAATTTCTTTTTGCAGTGATGAGTCAGCAGCTGTTGATTGTGGAGATGTTCATCATCACGCTAGTGACCCGTGTTTTATATAGACGTCAGTATGACCCCATACCAGATCTGGATGATGTTGAGGAGACAAAGACTGTCCTCACCTCAACAAAAGTTGTATATATTGCCTGAGAAGAACAGACTGTTGCGTGTGATTGAGATTTTGCTATTTTTTTTTAGGCCGGTTTGTAAAAAAAAAAAAAGTAATTTGTGAACAATGATGGTCATTGCAACGTTGCATTTTCTATATGTATGTACATTTACATTTACATTTAGTCATTTAGCAGACGCTTTTATCCAAAGCGACTTACAAATGAGGACAAATGATGATGTAAAAATGTACATGCTAGTATCTAATATTTTGCCAGTTATTGGGCCGCAGAATTTGACTGTAGAGTCAACCATGGCTTTGAGGGCCCTGATATTGATGTTTACACTTTTTATTGGGTCCGTCAATCTGAGGAATCAGGACTACAAAGCATTAGTAGATCTTGTGAGTCATGGTGCACATTGCTGATGAAGTGAGATAAAGTCATTTCTATGGCTTGATGGTCGGCTGCATGAAAGATTTTTGGAACTGTATAAAGGTCAGGATTCATTTATGTTGCTAAATTGTATGTTGATATATTACCCTTTGTACTGTAAAATGTCATTTCCTACTGTTGAATACAGATTTTTCCAGTAATCATGTCATTTGTTTGATGTTGTTACTGTTAAAACTAAAACTATTAGAATAGGTCATTGAAATAAAGGTGAAGTCAAGTAAAATATAAATATTGGATGCAAAAAATTAAAGATAAAATATAGGAGTACTAAAATTGATAAAAGTAAACCGATAAAGTTTATTAAAAAGTGATTTTAAAAATAATGCTAGGTCTCAATAATAAAAATGACAAAAGCACATCAAATTTAACTAAACTTAAAATGAAGCTGAAAATATAATAATAAAAGCTAACTCAAATATTAATTACAGCTATAATAATATATAAATGATACTAAAATAACACTGTTATCTGCACACAACTGAGAAGCAATAATAAACTTTTTTTTATGCTCAACTTTTCAGTTGTTCAGACTGGGAGACCTGCTAAACCATTCTAAATCAGCTAAGACCACCAGACCACCTTAGGCTGGTTTAATTATTATTATTTTTATTTTTTTTGCTTTTGTTTTTTACAGCAAGGTAATGTTTCTGTTTCCATAAATGGACGTTTTTACGGACAAACAACCGTGTAATGTGGGTCTGAGAATTAATAATAAAATCAAAATTGCTGGTTTTACAGGATGATATACACAAAACGTCATTAAAAACAAAACCAAACAAACTCATAACCGCTGTTCTGCAACCTAACATTCCACAGAGGCGTTTTATTCAGGTGAATGAATGGACCAATTATAAAGCACTGTCTTTTTTTCCGTGTTCTTCTCAGCCAATCACAGCACTCGCTGTTTAAATCAAGGTCGGTTGTGTGTTCGCTCTTGTGTACGTGCTGTGTGT